GAACCTATTTTGTTATCTACCACGATTAGAAAAAAATATTTTTTCTACAAATTATTTGTTTTTTTCTAATGTAAATGAGCATCGGTACTGATAAGATAAGATGAGATAAGAGATAGTACCGAAATATTGTGCCCATTTTAAAAAAACCGAAACATATTCTGTTAATGTAAAAGTTAACAGTTACAATTTTTTTAATGTTCTTTTGTGTCATTTTTAATTTGATCTGCCCTTTTTGGCGGAATTGTTATTATCTGGTCTTCAATTCTAACCTAAGGCGATATGATATCCAGCCCGAGAGAACCAACATTTTTGTTTATAATCATTTTAGCGAGATTACCCCAAGTGTGATATTTGCTCATTTTATTGGCATTTATCAAGAAATACCGATATTTAATGGTGTGAACCCCCCTTTTAACATCTTCGAAAAATGACCTTATTTTTTTGTCGCTGTTTACGATGTCTTTTGAGGTAGTTAGCCTAACAATGTGACTTGTGTCATTATTAAAAAAACCATTTACATTTACATTTACATTTGCATTTACATTTACATTTGCATTTGCATTTACATTTACAAATGAATTGACTCCGTATACCGATACAAGCAGTTTATTTAATTTTGCTCCATAAATACAAATCCCTTCTAAATCCGTACATAAAATTTTGCATTTACTTACATCATTTAAAACTTTATTATTTAAATCGGACTCGATATAGGTATACATGTTTTCCCCAAACGTTTTTTCAATATATATAAAATTATTATCTGTTTTAGTTGTTTGACCAATGTTATCTACATCCACACAGACTAATAATGTAGTTAATCCAAATCCTGTAATTGAGTCATACATTTTACGAATCTCAGAAAAACTGGAATTATTTATTGTATCCATTGACAAAACAAATAATACGTCGTAATGGCCCGTTTTGTTTTGATTTTTTTCTAAAATATTATTATCCAAAATATTTTGTTTAAAATCATTATCACATATTCTGTGATTTATTACGGACGAAACTCCGTACATTTCTACCACTTTGGGATTTGCTATTTTTTCTTGTTTTGTTAGCTCTGAGTTTAAGACATAAATATTGTCAATATCATTTATTGATTCATTGTAAGAATTTCTATTGATAATTTGAACTGTTTTAAATGAATACTCGTCGCCCATTAATATTAATTTTCGCATTGACGATGTTATTTCATTAACAATGTCATATTCCATAAACCAAAACAATAATATCGAGTCTTTAGAAACAGTAATATCTTTAAAACTGTCAATACTGCCACTTTTATAGTTTATTACATGTAAAATATGGGTATTCATACTTAATAAATGTCTGCAAAACTGTTCGTCAATGATGGTGGATTCGTGTTTTATTATGTGGATTTTTTTACAATTATATGTATTGTCTAGATAGCATTTGTCACTTAAACAGTGTATGTTGGTTGGGACAGCATCAGAAAAATGCAAGATATGTTCTGTCATTTGAACTAACGGATCTGTATATAACTGTTTTGGTGTTTTGTAGTATTCATCGGAGACACAAACCCCATTTGTCGCGAACTTTCTTATATTTAACCATGGTTTATATGTTCCAATGTACCCGTATAGTAACATATAGTATAACATCACTCTTTTAGTGCCCACTGCAACTACATCTTCTAAAATGTGTATTGATTCGCGACCCGATCTCTGGTCTTCAATGGCACGGTTAATTGTGTCAAGTAAATTTACCGTAAGTCTGTTTGACATATCTGAATTGGCATTTAATGCGATTAAAATATCGGATTTAAAAGAATTAAAATTAACTCTGTTTTGATATTTGTATAACATATACCACCATAATATTGAGTGCATAATTGTGTTTGCCGACAATATATCTTGAGGATAATCTGGATTAATGTCGTTTATATATGCGATAAATCTTTCGATCTCTTCGTTGTCATTATCGTCAAATAAATCGTGAAAGTTTACGGCTACTTTTCCTAAAAATTGTTTATTGTGCATTTCTTCTTGAATACCATTCGATTTTAAACCATTAATATCATTCTCATTACAATAAAGAATGTCTATGATAAGTTCGAACACACTAAAGTTGTTGTTAATAGGGTTGATGTCAGATATTGTTTTACATACGGAATTTAGGAGTTTAAATTTGTCTGTATCGTCATCGGATTTAATGGGTCCGACGTTGACCACAATGCGTACGGTTATTTTTGGGAATATATTTTTAACTAAACACATTATTTCCCGATGTGAATGAAAATCATGGTCCATAAGTTGAATATCTGAACAAAAGTCTGACACATTTGATGAAGAATAAATGTTGGATATGATACTGCTAAAAATATGTGATTGTTCAAGAGATAACAGTCTTTCAATGAATAATCTGTCAAGTATTATTGAAAACCATAATTTCTTGTCTTTAATATTGTCGAGACATTCAATTAATTCGTTAACAGTTGGTCTTATGTATGAAACTGAATTATGACTATAATTATTTGGAATAACCGAGAGTCTTAATTCATTTATATATCTATAAACGTCATAACCAATATCGTCAATATGAAAAAGCAAAAAACCGAATCTTTTCAAAAAATCGTGTTGATCCAGTATTTTGTTTGATATACACTCTGTCGAAATTACTCTAATCATCTTGTCAATTATCGCAATATCTGAAGTGATAAATGCTTTTTTTACAAAACGATATACCCCTGAATATAGCTCAATAAATACGTCTTTGACAGTTGAATTATCTTGACAATCGACAGTTTTTTCAATAAAAAAAACACCGCGTCTCATCATAGCTTTATTAAGCTCTTTGCATCGATTCGAACATATTGATTGCTTGCATGTTAGCAATACTGAAAGGATTTTAGATCTGTCCTTAATTTGAGAAGCATTTTCGGTTATACAATTGGTCAATTTTTTTATTTTATTTCCTAAAATACCTTGTGGAACACCGAGTGTGTTTGCAATGTTATGCTCACTAATGTCATGAAGTGTTCGAATCATGATAATGTCGACTTATAATATAGAATGAGTGTTAGAATTCTTTTTGTAACATTTTACGGAACAATTGAATATGTTGGAATAATAGTTGACGCTTTTAGTGAACTTATATCTAAATCAAAAAATAGTAATTTTATAAATATAAATATGACGCTAGAAATGATTGATGAGATATCTTATCTTAAATACATAAAAGACGAGAATATGACTCATGACCAAATCGGAAAACTTATTGTTGATAAAGTTAATAAAAACAAAATAACGCATGTTTTTTGGTTTTTCTTTCCGGACATTGATGTTTTAAAAACTGTCAAAGAAAAAACAAAAGCAAAAAGTGTTTTCTATAATTTTGACGACCCTGTTAGTTTTAATATATTTTTAGTTAAAAACTTACAATATGTCGACTATGTTATTAATCCTACCAAGTACAACGAAAGAAAATACACATATGTATTGGGAAAACAAGTTTATACAGTTCCAATGTATGACGACACTATTATTAACAATCCAAATAACACAAACTATGACGAATTTGTAAATTTTGACGACCCCGTGTTTACTGACGATAATATTATGCATGACGCACCAGAAACAAAATCCGATGTTACAATACTTATTGACAAAGACTATACAAAATACGATTTACAAGAAAGAGAGACTGTCGATATATACGTTCAAAAAATAAAAAATTATTGCATAGATAACAATAAAACCATAAATATGTATGGATGTTCAAGCCTCGAAAAATATTTTCCTGACATCTATATTGACACATGCGACTCATTTGACTATTATGGAATTAATTCTCGATTAATCATTGTTCTTGATTTTAAAACGGGTCTTGACAAATGCACAAACAAACTGATAAACAAATGTATGAGATACGGCATTCCAGTATTGTCTAATTCAAATCAGGCCAATAGCAATGTTTATGAAAGGGGAATTGGAACTGGAACTGGAACTGGACGGTCGAATGTCAAAAAAATAAATAAAATCATTACACTTGATAATTTGGACATCATAACACAAATTTTGAACCGTTCAGGCATATCCGATGATTCCGATTTTTTAACTGAGACAACAAAAACACACACAAATTTGATTTTGACTCGGTTAATTTGTCCGTAAGTAACTGGGCTAATAAAATTCTTGAAATATTAAATATATAAGTGATAATGTCTGTTAAAATTCTTGTTATTAAAACGATACTTGTTTTTGACGATTCGTTCATTAAAACAAATATCGATTCGTTGGGTTCTATTTTAAAAGCTATAAATGAATTATCAGGTAAAAACATAAAGTTCGACATAAGTCTTATTGGATGGGTTAACCCGGGTCAAAAGCAGAATTTTATAAGAGATCTTGATAAAGCTTGTATAAACACTTTATGCGATATTCAATATCAAATATTAAATGAAAATCTTGGCAAACTATATTCAATAAACAAAATAGTGTCTAACACTGACGTCGACAAATATGACAAAATCATCTATGCGGATCATGATATCATTTTCGATAATTCATTTGTCGAATGTTTAAAAACACATTTTTTTGACAAATTATTTGACAAAATAATAGAGGGCAGATTGTTAAAAATTATCAGTTTTAGGCAAAAATGCGACGAAAGACATAATCCGATCATCTACATTAAAAAAATGTCCCTGAATGATAAATTAAATTTAGAATTAAACTATTCAGATGACAATATTGATGTTGCAACCGGATGTTTTGTTACAGATTCACTTGGAATAAAAGTAATATCAATGTTGGCCAATATTACAGACAATGTTTATGGCAACGAAGACATTTTGATTGGCGAAGAATTAAACAGACTGTCGTTTGTTCATGCAGTTTTTCACGACTATTACGTGGTTCATCCATTTGATAACAATGTCAAATATTCCATTTGGAAAAAAAATAAAATATTTATGTCGCAAGCTATACGATTATTTAACAAAATAAAAAAATAAAATGTGCTATTGTGTTATATTACTGCTTTTTTGTTTTGCCTTTGTCTTTGTCTTTGCCTTTGCCTTTGCCTTTGCCTTTTCCTTTTCCTTCAGTTGCTTGTTTTTGTGGCGAATTTTTAGGCTGTTTTACTTCGTTTTTTCGTGAAGTATTCCTAACCGGTTCGACGTCATCTTCATCTTCGTCAGCATTGGAAATATCGTCATCAGAATTGGGATCGGCATCGACATTAACATCAGCATCAGCATCAGCATCAGCATCAGTATCAGCATCAGCATTAGCATCATCAGCATCAGCGCCAGCACCAGCATCAAAATCAGAACCATTATCGTCATCATTTGAATCAGCACCATTATTAGAAGCATCGTCATTATTTGAGGCATTGTCATTTTCGTCGTTGGAATCGGCATCATCATCGGAATTAGCATCATCGTTAGAATTGACATCGTCGTCAGAATTAGCATCGTCACCAGTGTTGTCTGTCTCCTCGCTTATTACATTTTTATTTTTCGAATTAGTTGAAGATTTTGTTTCGTGTGCATGCGTAACAGTTTCACAGTCGGCATCAGAATCATCGACATTATTACCATTATCTTTAGGAACCCTTTTATTTTTTTTTGTTTTTCCTTCACTAAGTCCGAGTTTTATAACATGGGCGACTTTGGCATTTGAAACAAACTTTAGAAGTTTTGAAACTTCACCAACATTGCATTTTACAATATTTTCACAATATTTATCAGTACTATATCCTCTTTCTTTGGCCTCTTCAATCACCATCTTGAAAGTTTTTTTGGCATCTTCGCAATCAACATATTGGCAACCGACGTCCGAACCATAATATTTGACAAGATTGTCAATCACATATTGGGCAACATTACCGTCTTCTACAGGAAAAATATACGAACGACTTGATCTAATAATGGACCCTCCATAAATGTGCGCAACACATTGATTAAATTTCTTTTTGTCTACTGATGTATTCATCCTACTTGTTGATTTATTGGCCGGTTTATCAACTGATTTATCAGTTGATTTATCGGCTGATTTACCGGTCGATTTGCCGGTCGATTTACCAGTTGATTTGTCAGTTAATTTGTCAGTTAATTTGTCAGTTAATTTGTCAGTTGATTTGTCGGCCGATTTATTGTTATTGGCCGATTTACCAGTTGGTTTGTCGATCTTATTGGCTGATCTATTTGTCGGTTTTACAGTTTTGCCGGCAGATTTATCAATTGATTTATCGACAGGTTTATCAGCAGATTTTTTGTTTGATTTGTTCTTTTTATCAGCCGAATCATTTTTTTCGTTTGATTTGAGTGTATTGGCAGGCATTGTTATTCTGTTTTTAGTGTCGATTTGTTATATCAATATAATGTTTTGTATATTTTTCAGTAATTTACGAATTCAATTTTTATTGGCGTATTTTACATATTTTATATTAAATTAAATTTATGAAGCATGGTGTACTTATACTGATGTGTCTAATTGTGTTGTAATAATATAACATTACTACAACTTTTGCGAAGTTATTGGCAATACTATTCGTTTTATTTTAATTCCCTACTTGATAAAATATTTTATGTTTGCATAATACGCCTATGGAAAAATTCCATAATATTAGGTCAACAATAATTGATCTCTGTAACAGTGCATACGGTTCATATCTTCTTGCAATAGACCCTTTGGTTATACTACACACATACATTAGCGATCTTATCAAAATTCTTGATGCGCAATATTGTGCGGTTATAAAATACGACTCTGTTAATAAAACAACGGATTTTATCACTCATGTGTCACACAATTTAGAGGATAACAAAAATAAACTGGAACCAATGTGGCTGGCTTTTACCAATTGTGTTCGGAAACACAACAATCTTTGTAATTCAAGTATTATCAAAAAATGTATTTCTCATTCAAAAACAAGGATCGGACATGGGTTTAGACTAACTGATGTTTTTGGAATAGATGTCGATATTGATATTGATATTGATATTGATATTGATAGGACCGAAACTTATTACCAAGACGATTTTAAAATAGCCAGAGAAATTGTCATATGTATACCGTGTTGTATAATAGGGGTATCTTATGGAGTGATTATACTGTGTTTTGACGACCCAATTGACGATCAAGAAAAAGAAACGCTTCTCAAAACAATTCGGCCAATTGAAAACATGTTGGGTATCCTAATGTACAACATGTTTTTTAGACCCCTTCATATAAACTCCGTTTCCAATAAAACTCATACAGACACCACAATAAAAAATTACGATAGTTCTGTTACATTTCAACTAATATGCGACACTTTAAATGCCGTAACAGATGCTATTGTTGTTACTGACACTGATATGAAAATAGTTTATAAAAATGACCAATTTGTTAACACGATTAAAAGTATATATCATATCGACGTTATTCCCGAATACATAATAGATATAATACCTCAAACAATAACATTAATGGGATCTAAAGTATGTTCTACTAATTCAAGCCATTTAACAAGTTTTTACCGAAATAAAAAGATCGAAGTGAAATATTATACATGTTTTAATAATGAGTCTGATCGGGATTTGAGTCGCGATAAAACACAACAAGATTGCGACAATAATGTTCAATCAAAAACTTTTGATATTTATGTTAACTCAACAGTCTCAGATGGGGATATCTATCACATTTACAGAATATGCGACAACGATTTTACATTGATATCAGATAATCTTGATAATCATGGATATCCAAAAAACCAAAAAAATTCAAAAATTTCAAAAAATCTCGTTGCGTGTATGAGTCACGAACTTAGAAACCCAATTCAGGCAATTAGCACCGGTGTTTATCTAATAAACAGAACAATTAAAAGTATGAATAAATCCAAGCGACATAAATCTAAAACAACCAATGTGGATAAATCGGGTAATTTGCCAAGATCTGGCTCAATGTCCGACTCTATGTCCGATTCGGCATCCGACTCAACATCCGACCTAATGTCCGATTCAACATCCGACCTAATGTCCGACTCAATGTCCGAATCGATGTCCGAATCAACACCTGACTCAACCCCCGAACCAATGCCTGACTTAATGCTCGAATCAATGCCTGACCTAATGCCTGAATTAATACCCGAATCAACGCCCAAATCAAAGGCCGAATCGATGTTTGACCCAATGCCTAATATTACGGATTTGGCAAATAGTCATACAAATACAAATGGTCCGGACAATCAAAAAAAAACAAATTGCGTTTTGTTAAAAAACCGGGATTTGGACAATCATTTGTCGCATGGTCGGGATTTATATAATATTAATTATGAGGATTGTGTTAAAGAACAAACAGAAACAAAATCAAATCTTATTCTTCGACGGTCATATATTGATATTGATTCCAAAAGTAAAAACAACGAACCAGATAAAACACCGGATGTAGATGTAATTAGGGATAAATTAGACAATAATATGTCTGTTATAAAGTCGCACGATAATATACATATGCAACACAGACCGTCGGAAAAAACGGAAATGGGATTTTTCGAGTTGTCATCACCTTCAGGAAAATTATCGGAACATGATGAATCTGACTCTGACAATGATTTATACTCGAGTCCCAATTCAATCAGTGATTGTGATGATATAAGCGATATGAAACATATGGACATTGACACTCTTTATAAGATAATAAAAAGGGTTTGTAGTGCATGTAAAAACATGAACATAATTATTGACGATATTCTTGATTTGTCAAAAATAGATAATGATGAACTTATAATGAATCTCGACGAACATTCTCTTCGGGAAATATCCGAGATGATTGTTGAGGAATCAAAGCCTGAAGTTCGTAAAAAAGGACTAAAATTTGTTTACGAGTTTGACAATTCATGCCCCGAAACTATATATACAGACGGAACAAGAGTATTTCAAATAATATCAAATCTTATGTCAAATGCCATTAAATATAGTTGTACGGGCACTATTAAATTTAAGGTAAAATACGATTCCGATGCAAACACAATAGTTTTCCAGATTTCGGATCAAGGTAAAGGAATTAGAAGAGAAGAAATGCTTAATTTGTTTAAACAATTTGGCAGAACATCTAACAGTGTTACAGAGATTAATTCAACAGGTCTGGGATTATGTGTATGTCAGAAAATTGCGTCAATGTTGGGTGGGTCAATTAATGTGTCGTCTGAACACAAAAGGGGATCAACTTTTACATTTATTCATCCAATAAAATTGGGATACAGTGGATCCAGAACTGTTAATGAGCTGTTTGTTAAGAGAGAAATAAAAGGGGATGTTTTAATTGTTGACGATGATCCAAACATAACGTCATTATTTAAACTCCTTCTTCGATGTATGAACTATGATAAGGGTTATGAACTAAGCATCGAAACAGCCAACGCGGGTGATAAAGCTATTATAATGGCAAATACAAAAAAATACAGTCTAATTTTTATGGATATTGATCTTGATGGAGAAGACGGTTGTACAGTTTGTAATAGGATTTTACATGACAGTGTTTTTAACAAATCAACTCCGGTTATTGCAATAACTGCAAACATTAGGTCTGTTCAACATGACAGAGACCAAAAATTTTACCAGTTTAGTGACATAATTTTAAAACCCTTCAATAACAATAATATTAGTGAATGTTTAATTAAATATCTGAGCTGTTGATGTTTTTCTTTTTATAACCTGTCTAATTGTAACAGTAATAGTATCAAATTATTTTATTTTATTTAATAACAAATACCTTTTTTTTAGGACTGCAAATACATAAAGTTTCTCCGTTTCATTGATAGCTTTGAAAGTTGTGATCGTTGTGACCGATCATCCGATTTTTTTTCCGCGATTTTAAAAAACTCTGTGATAAGAGATAACTCAACCGGTTTAACAAATACTCCTTTCATATTATTGTCTTTAAATTGTTTGATCGCACTCGGGGAGTTATCGCCTGTATAGGCATAAACTGAAGCATCAACGTCAAAACATTCTCTAACCATTTGCGTAACAGTTACTCCATCTAACTCTCCGAGACCTTCACCAAGATTGTCCATATGATAGTCCATAAATATAATATCATACTGATTATTTGAGCATCTATTTACGCACTTCATTCCTTCATCAAGGGTCGTTATTCGGTGACCTCTGGTTTTAATCATGTCGGCTAAAGAGTCTCTCGATGCTTTGTCGTCGTCGACTATCAGTATATTTAGTCTGGGAATCGCATCTCTACAATGTTGATTTGGATCTGATATTTTGGTCTTATACATATTGTTATATTTATTATGTTTATTATATTGTTGCTGCCATGTATAAAAGCACAAAAAATATTGCCATTGAATATTGAACTAGAACAAGTAATGCCAATACCTCTCGCGCTATTTTATGAATTCCAATGCCAAACCATTTTGTTGGACAGATAATTCACATATTTCTTCGGTTTGTTCTTTTACATACTATGTTATGTTGCCCAACCGTCTTCTTGGACCGCTAATTTGCATATTTCATTGGTTTGTTTTTTTGAAAGGTAAATGTAATATGAACACATGGAGCCAAAAATCAGTTAAGACTGTTGTCTTAATATAATCGTAATTTGCGTGATCTGTTTGCCTTGCCGCAAGAAAAGAAAAGAAATGCAAACCTTGGGTATTTTTTTGTTTTATTCAAGAATGTAAAACCTTACATAAAAATAAATATAATCTCCATATGCATATATATTCGCATATAGAATGGTAGATATTTATTGTGGAATTGGCAAGACCCCTAAAAGTCACCGTGTCGGTACAATGAGGGAATGCGCCGAAAAAGGTCAAGTAAGGTTATATGGAATAAATAAAATTGACCCAAAAACACTTAAACTTGCCAAACAAAAGAACGTTCTTCCTGAAACAAGAGAAAAATTAATCTTAATGATGTCATCCCTAAGAGGAGCAGTTAGAAGGAATAAGGGCAGATATGAAACAACAAAAGATAAGGAACTTAAACCCGAATACTACAAGAATTGGCAAAAAGCCCAAAAAGATCTAGAAACAGTAGTTGCAAAACTAAAAAAAATTGAGGAAAAAAGGGATATTGAAAAATCAAAATTAGAACAAAAATCTAAATCTAAAACTAAACCTAAACCTAAAACCGATTCCAAAACCAAAACCGACACCAAAACCAAAACCGATTCCAAAACCAAACCTAAAGCTGATCCCAAATCTAATCCCAAACCTAAACCTAAGGCTGATCCTAAATCTAAACCTAAGGCCGATTCTAAATCTAAACCCAAATCTGATTCTAAAGCCGATTCTAAATCTAAAACCAAAACCAAAACAACATCGACATCCAAGTTTAAAGAACCAAATAAAGGGAATAATAAATCAAAGTAAAATGTTTATTTTATGACATGATGTCGAATTATTTCCATATCACGCGCTTTTCCCGGATTTGTGCATTTATTTAAAATTGCCTAAAATCATTTTTACATCTTAAAGATTTAAAATGCCGAATATACTCAACAAAAAAATTTTCAAGGTTCGCCCGTTCGTTGCAGAGCGTGTAAATTATGGTTTTGTTAAGGCGACAACCTTAACTGATGAGTTTTAATTTTAATTTTAATGTGCATACTTTTCCTTTCCCATCCTATATGCTCTTTTTATAAGAGAAAAGCAGGAAATGCACGAACAAATCATTATAGACCTCTTACTATTCATTGTTATAATAACAGCATTTTTTTTAAATTGTTTTATAAAAAAATCGGCATTTTAAATCTTCAACGGTGTAAATCTAAAAGGTTTATCCATTACAGAAATATGTAAATTATGATTATGTTGTAGCGACAACTACAACTACAACTACAACTACAACTGATTAGTTTTTAGTTCTCATTGTGTTATTATATTGGCATTAATGTTTTTACAACAAAATACCTACATTAAGGTAAGAGAGTAAGTAAATCGCTATAGAACTTATAACTATTAATTACTAACACATTGTTATCATATCGTTATTTATATAAAATTATATTAACTCAATCCCCCACGCCTAATTATATGTTCGTATTAATTTATTAGGTACTAAAATCAAATAATTTATCAAATAAACGAACCGTGTTTTTTGATATGACGTTGTTAAATTGCCATAAAAAAGTTATAAACCGGTATGTTATTATAACGATTTCCATGTAAATTTAGTGTTATTTTTAGTGCCATCTTAATTTTACAGATTGTTAATTAATGTTGTACTTCATGTCAACTTAGAAAAAATTGATTTGCGAACATATAAACTTTATTGTTTTATTCGTACAATATAACCAATTTTAAATTTTAAAAAATGGATATGGTAAAATTAATTGATGACAATAAAACAATATTTATAAATATCAACGAGTTTGACATCAATAGAGTCTCGGTTAAAAAAAGTACAAAAACTATGAATCAATACTATAATGTTGTTTACAACTATGGATCTATTGATAAATCTAAAAAACACGATATAATAGATAATTTAGTTTTGTTTTGTGACTCTTTGCGAATGAATTCTTCAAGACGGAAAATAAATACATTACTTTGTAAAAAAACATCAATAATTCCTTTAGACGACAAAGACGTTAAAAACAAAGTGTTAAAATCAATTATTCAGGAAATTAAATCAAAAATCACAAAACTGATTGTTGATGATTACAAAATTGGCATATCCAAATATTTAATTGAAAACAGTCGAAATGATGTTAAACTATTTCATGATACCGATGGTAAACTCAAAAGTCAGGTTATTCGGCTCGGTACAATTTCGGAAAAAAACCAAAACAAAGATATTATAACAATAGATGACATGAATATGTTGTTATGTGACTATCGATACAATAATAAAAAAACTGATTCATACTATAAGGCAAATGCTATTATAAAATTTAAATGTGTAGTATATCATCATCATGGTGATCCGTTTTCGGACAAGGAAATAAGTTTCAAACCGTTTGTGTCAAAAATGGAAATGTTTTATAATAAATCAAAACCAATTCCAACTATCTTATCAAACGAACAGTCAGTTTTATTAGATGGTGTTTTAGTTTTATAACAATAATCTAAATATATTTTATTTTGGTTTTATCACGACAAAGTCCATTTTATTTTAACAATCATATTTAAGAGAAAAGTGTTGGCATGTGTTATTTTATTTATTGGTACTCTAATTAAAATATAAAAAATTATAATGAAACCATTTGTTTATTAAAACGGATATGTTCTATGTTCTATAAACTGTTTTAGTTAATGTAAAATACCGGCAATGTTTTACATTATTATTTTATGGTCGTATAAGATAGACCAATGAGCAAAAGTCCTTATTTGAAATCCCCAAGTCAAAGCTCCGTATTTTATTCCGATCCAGCATCGATATATAGCCAATCACTTAGTCGACCAAACATTCCGAGCAATCTCCCGAACGGTCTGTCTGATATTCCGGATCCGAGAGGTCTTTCTGATATTCCAGATATTGTGTCGCCAAATGTCGATAAAACTAAAAACACATCATCGTCGTCTGTATTTGACAATAAAACAAAAAAAGACCATGATTACAATTACAAGATAGTTCTGCAGAATTCTGATGCAATTATGTTGATTGACGAAATTAAAAAAATAAAAACGTCCAACCCCACTTATGAAAAAACGGTGTTTAATGTTCTAAATTCAAAAGAGTATCTCGATGTTGCAAAACACATTAAAAGAGCGTTGCGTGTTTTACATAATGATGTTTCAAATGAAAAAGAACATCTAAGAAAACTCTATAACAAATTCAAATCGTTAGGAACCAATAATATGTTCTATAAATTTAGCACATTAGTTCCGTGTTATATTGTAATTAATAAAGTGAACCATATGGGAAATCTAGTTGCGATTGATGACGGTGTATCTGTGGTTGCACAAACAGGTAACGGTGATGCATACGTCGTAATTATTGAGGGAAATGTCGTAATTCAAGAAAACGCTAGCATAAGTCAAAGTCTAACAGGCGGTTCAAAAAAATCAGTAGTTACGCCTTCTCAAATAAGTTCTCAAATAAGTTCTCAAACAAGTTCCAAAAAAAGTTCTCAGATAAGTTATTTTAATTCAACTGAAAAGTTTTCGTCACAATCGACAGAAAAAATGTCGCCAAGTTCGGCAAAAACAAAAATGTCATATCCCTATCTTGCGACATCCGAGTATGACATTATTAATTCGGAGTCAAAAAGTAAATATATGGGTGGCGGAAAAAAAACACTATCGGAATCAGAACCTAATAAAAATGATATTAAATTTATGAAAGCCGGTAAATTCGACAATATTGGAATTATTGAGTCGTTGGAAAACAGTAGCTACTATTCGGAGTCTTCAGATGTACTCGAGGGGTTATGTGAATAAAAGTCGTAATTATTTCATTGGATTGGATTGAAAGACATCTAATATATCATAAGGTCTTCAAGATTAGCTAATTTCCCGTCCCGATAGTTTGTATATAGCCTTACTAATGTGTATCCCCAAAGGCAAAATGTTACTAAATAAATCACAACCGACATGTCGTTGTTATTTTTATTAAAATCATAAACTGGGGCTATAAGGTTATAAGTAAAACAATCATTTGAATCAGGTTCTTTACCATAAAGATTTTCTCTTATTTTCTTTTCCATCATTGTTAGAGCGCAGTTATTATCATTTGTAACCCAATGTGCCACCATGAAAGGCACAATTACTGCATGTAAAATTAGAAAATAGTTGTTGCCGACAAACGGTGTTAAAACAACAAATAATACGAAAAAAAAGTGCAGAATAACAATGAAATAAAGCACGTAATCATTCATTTTTATATAGAATAACTTGATAATAATATTATAATTTGAATAATATTTTCAGAAAAGCGTATTATATATGTTATTCCAATATAATATATATAATGAACATTGTTCAGGCGTACACAAAGTTTAACGGGCAAAACATAATTCTTGTGTCTGGATTTTCAGGATCGGGTAAAACCAAGATTTCAAAGTTTTTGGCCGAATTGTTTAATTTTAAACATGTTAATATAACTAATTTTTATAAATCTAATGAATTATATGACATTAAAGACAACTACGTCACAATAAAAGGCGGTATCAAAATTCTAAATTGGGATAATATATATGAGTCTATAGACTGGGAAAAACTAAACGAGTATGTTAATAATTCAAAAACAAAAGGAATTGTTTTGGTCGGATTTGGTTTTTTAAAAGATCGTGTTAATTTTAGACCCGACTTCCATATTCACATTAAGATTAGCAAAAAAAACTTGATTGAAAATCGGATAGCTTATATCAAAAAACATTCAAAAGATTTATATTTCAATAAAGCGATCGAAAATAACGAATATCAAAAATCCTTTGATGATGACAAAATTATTTTAAATAATCTTACCTACCCAACTTATCTTAAGATATTAGAGGATTCAAAAATAGACAAGTTTATTAATACCAATGATATGTCGGACAATGACATTAAAGATGAGGTGTTTACATACTTAATGAGTAATATTGACAAGTGGTTAAAAATAAAAAACCATAATGAACCAAATAAGAATAAGAAAGATGTTACTAACAACAGTGTTTTTAGGCAGCATCATGAAGGAGTCAACGAACATTATGATGATTTTTACTTTCCAAACAAAAAACGCATCATGTATGATTTTAATGACGAAGGGATAGATTATCCGGAAGAATATATTAACAAAATTAAAACAAAATCACCCAATAAAAAAAAAGTCGCTTTGTCTTCAAGTTCCGACTCAGACTCTAATTCTGATGCTAATTTTTTATTTACAACTGATGGAAGAGAACTAAATAGCCCGTATTACATTTCATAACATAAACTGATTAAACATATTTTTACAAATTTGTATAAAGAAAAATGAGAAGACATTGTGCTTGTTTTATTTATTATTTATATATGTAGTTGCAGCTGATCAACCGTGTTTAGTTATAGTTATTTGTTATTAGTTACAGATAGTTTGTAAGAGCATTGTTTATTTCCACAATTTGCTCTTGTATTTTTTTTAGATTATTGTCGTTATTGATTTCTACCAGATCTCCCAAAAATGTGATTAACATAATCGAGGTCTCTGCAATCTCTTTAAAACTATTATATCTTATCATGCCGCGATTTTTCGTAATCGACATGTTTTCCGAAGTCTTTATAAAAAATTTATTAATGTCATCTTTTAATTTTGCCACCAAAGGCGCAAGTTCATCTATACCGGCCCCGATTTGGTATTTGTGTTTATATTTAGATCTTGATGTCAAATTGTTGTCTTTAATATTTGTGTTTCCTTTTGAGCGTAATATTTTTATAACATTATCATTGGACTCTATAATGTGTTTAATTGTTACCGGATTATAGAATTTAGAGACATTAATTGCCCGATCGTTGTCATTTGAAATTATTTTTTGAATCTTGGAAAGATAATCTAGGATCATTGTATATACTAATAAGATGAGTTATTCTACTCCGAATGAAAAATATAGAAAGTATAAAGATCTTTTACAAAAAGAACCTGATAATAAAGTTTATTCCAGAAAACTAACAAAGTATTGCAACATGCTTAAAAAATCCCAGAGCGGGGGTAATATAAATATACTTGATCAAATTCTTCCAAATACACCAAAGTTTAGTGATATATCAGCCACTATGGATATAGATACCAAAGCTATAACTGACACGGACAAAGGACCAAGAGCCAAAACAAAAAATCTTATAAATAAAATTAATGAAATGATCGCATATGCCCAGGAAACAGGCATGACAGGTGGGGCTAAAAAAATGGGCAATAAAGTTAAAGGATATAGGCAAATGATTGGTGGTGTACGTGCCGTACCTGACCTTCAAGAAAAATTAGCAAAACTAAATCAAGATATGGGCGAGAATGCTATCGTTAATGGAGTTAGGTATTTAAAAAATAGAGTGGACGAATTAACAAAGGACACCATTAATCAAAAAAATAATATCGACGACCTTAATGCCCAATTGGCTGCATTGAATAACCAAAAAATAGAAAACGAGAATGCTATCGACCGGAAACAACAGGAACTTGATGATCTCCTGGAAGCCCACAATAAATTACGAGCCGTGTTAAATTTACCGGGCGGTATCTCAAATGAAGAAGCCATTAATCAAGCGAGAGAATTATTCCAAAAATCGGAAAACATGATCAACGAACTAAATAATGAACTTAACAAATTAAAAGAAAAAGGTGCCCACGAAGAGAATTTAATTCGCAATCTACAAGACCAACTCAATAAAGCACAAGAAGAGTTGCGGCAAGCTGACGACACTTTTGACGCCGCCCAACGCAATTTCGATGAAATTGTTGACGGGTACGAAAAAAAATACAATGACCTGGTGAATCGTTTAAATGACGAATTAAATTAATGACGACTTATACAGTAATTTTAGAAAATATCATATTAAAATATACTAGTGTTCTTTAGTATCAGTATATTGATTATTTATTAATGCCATATAAAAAAAATAAAAATAACACGACCAATAAATCGAAATATAGTCCGACAACAAATTATGGCTCTAGTTCTAGCTCTAGTTCTAGCTCTGGCTCTGATTTTGATTTGGATTCTGCGAGACACATGTTTTATGGTATGCCAGATAACAACTATGTTAACTTTAGTCATACACCATACTTTTATTATAAAGACACCATCTACAATCAAATGTATGATTTTAACAGATTTAATGTCTATCATCCGCTCGTAATGAAATGGTTATTGGGATATTTTGATGATAATCATGGTAATTATTATGGCACGGAAAAAAACAACCGAAATAGTCAAAACAACCTAAATAACCAAAATAACCTAAATAACCAAAATAATCGATACGTGGATTTTGCTTTTGCTCTAGATGACGAATCGCTAATTTATGTTGAGGAAATAATAAGGTCTTTTAATAATATACATAGAAGACATGCCAATATTTTTGAATCAACTAGAAAATTGCTGCTCGATAGTGAAATAAACTTTTTGACAAAAGAAAAATTGCGGCATATTAAAATAAACCAAATTGTTTTGACAATTGATGATATTCCTGTTGTAAATCAACAGACTTTTTTTGACTTTATGACGGAAATTAAAAATGTGATTACCAGAACGACAAATCATACATTTGATTTGTTTGAAATAATTAAAGAACTTGTTCCTATTAAAGAAAGACATATAATAGAAAAATTCCAAAATGATGTTATGGAAAAAAAAGCCATTTTAGTCCCAAGTTTTTTGTTCGAAAAAACGGAAATTAATGACAGACTTGGCAACATTTTTAGTATGTATGGAGGCGACAGGGGTGGTAATGGTGTGATAGGTGAATACAAGAATTTATCTGATATAAATGTTTTAGTTTCAAAGTTTAAGTACGATCTTGACCAATTTAGAGAACTTCTAAAAAGATGGGATGTTTCGCGAATAAATTCTGTTTCAAACGAACATATGTCTGAACTGGTTCCTGACAGACAAAAGGCGTTTGAAAACGAGGACAATTCTAAAACTAAAAAACACCTATACATCAACAACCACAATTCGGTTTTGTCAGATGTTCTGATAAACGAAATGACCGATCGTCTAAAAAATGACCCAATTAAAAATAGCGACATTATTACGCCAAAATTTAATTATCACCCGATATCGAACATTAAAAAAGCGTTGGATAAACAAAATGAAAACATTAAAATTACCATAAATAAGTTGAATATATTAAATAATTTTATTAACTATGACTACTCTGATTTTACATTAGATGATTTCATATTTTTACAAACAGATCCGGCGGAAAGCAATAAAAATTTAAATTTACAGCAAAACGTATTAATAGAAAAAATAAAAAAAGATCGTGATCACAATGAGTCAAAAAGAAATGATTTTTTAAAAAAACAAAAAATGGAAAAAATGAACACACTTATTTGCCATATAATTAGTGTTTTACTATATAGCGGATTATTTAAAGATAATACAAATAATCAATATGACAGACCGCCAATGGCGGAAATCTATGGCAATCTACTTAAAATGACCAATACACCAGGCAATAAAGAACATAACGAAATATATAAAAAGTTATCAAACATTGGTTCAGTAAAAGATGTAAACATTAAAGCTATGGATCAATTAAAAACCGTAACAAGTGATTTTACAAATGAAATTTTTAATTATGTCGCCAATAACTTAAAAAATGTTGACGGGAAAACAGAAATGAGTCCTTATGTATTACAAACAGTCAATAAATTTTACGATGAACAAATTGAATTATTGAGTCAAAAAAACAATGAATTAGACAAACAAATCGATTCAATGCTAACAAAAATCGTCCCAACAAATGAACAGTTAATGATGGAGATAGTTGATGAAGCGGTTATAAGGGTTGAAATAAATACCTTAATGGCGTTATTGGACAAAATATCCAAATCAAAAAAAAAGTTGACAGATTATAAAAACACAAATACCAAAACAGTTGAAAGTTTGTCTCAATATGCGTTAGAAAATAATTCAGTCATAATGAAAGGAGGAGTTTTGGCAGACACATTTCAAGATATTACGGACAATATAAATGAATATGATAAAAATTACAAAGACCTGATTGATACACTTTATGATAACATTATTATCAATGATGAGCTTAGAGATAACATAATATTTAAAGAGATTGATAAGTTAACAACAATATGTGAAGGAATAATATACTTTTTTGCCGTGTCTCTCCAAGAAAATATCGTTGTCAAAGGCGATAATGACAATAGGTTATGTTATGTTAAGGCTCTTAAATTTATTGAAATTGATGACGTGACAAGAATAGGCGATAAATGTAAACGTGTTTTGGCTGGCGACAACGTTGATCTGTCAATAGTTGGTATATTAATGAGGATGTCAAAGTTTGCCGATATGATTAAAAAATTAAATGAGGGATCCAAACTCAATGCCAAATACATAGAACTGAGTTACAGGCATAAATCATTTATTCCTCTTATGTCGCTTCAAATTGTGTCACGGCTCAAAATGTGAAATGTATGATGTAATGTATTTTTTATTTAATTTACCTATAATGAAACAACTTTGTGTGATTTTAGGTAATTTTATTTTTGCCATTTTAACACGATTTTACAAGAGGAATAGGTGTTTTTAAATTAGGACCTATTTATCATGTCAGCACCGTGTTATTCCCTCTACACCCTTGGGGATTTAAAATAAAATAAGACAAAAATCCCATTAAAATCTAAAAGGTTTATCCATTACAGAAATATATAAATTACGATTATGTTGTGGCGACAACTACAACTGGTTAGTTTTTAGTTCCCGTTATATTATTATATTGGCATCAATTTATTACAACACCTATAATAAGGTAAGGTGTGGTAAGGGAGTGAATCGCCATATAACTTATAACTATTCATTACTAACACATTGTTATCTCATTTTAAATCTTCAAGGGTGTAAAAAACCCAAATATATTAGCGTTTTATAAAAAGAGTGTAATAATATGGTGCTGATAAACGGGTCCATAGTATGCAACATTTTTAGTACGCAACATTTTTAGTACGCAACATTTTTAGTACGCAACATTTTTAGTATGAAATCTTTTTAGTATGTAGCATTTTTAACATGTTACGATTATCGAAATATTTTTAGTGTGTTACGATTATCGAAATATTTTTAGTGAGTGACAATTGTTGTAAACGTTTTTAGTATGAAACGGTTTAAGTATGAAACAATTATTGAGACATTTTTAGTATAAACACTATTAGTATGTAACAGTTTTAGTACATAGCGTTTTTAGTTTGTAACAATCTAAGTTCGACATTATTAGTATAAAACATTTATAGTTTGTGACAAATTAAGTATGCAACATTTTCGGTTCGCAACGTTTGTGGTTTGTAACAAATTAAGTATGCAACATTTTTGGTGTGACACATTTTTAGTATGTAACAGTTTGTGTGAAACAGTTATTGCAAACGTTTTCAGTATGAGACATTTTTAGTATGAACAGTTTTAATAGAAACAGTTTTAGTATGGGACATTTTTAGTGTGAACAGTTTTAATAGAAATAAATTGAGTATGAGCAGTTTTAGTATAGAACAAATATTGGGACATTTTTAGTATGTGACAACTACAGTGTGAGACATTTTTAGTATGAACAGTTTTAATGGAAATAAATTGAGCATGAACAGTTTTAGTATGAACAGTTTTAATAGAAATAAATTGAGTATGAACAGTTTTAGTATGAACAGTTTTAATAGAAATAAATTGAGTATGAACAGTTTTAGTATGAACAGTTTTAGTATGAGACATTTTTAGTATGAACAGTTTTAGTATGAGACATTTTTAGTATGAACAGTTTTAATAGAAATAAATTGAGTATGAACAGTTTTAATAGAAATAAATTGAGTATGAACAGTTTTAATAGAAATAAATTGAGTATGAACAGTTTTAATAGAAATAAATTGAGTATGAACAGTTTTAGTATGAGACATTTTTAGTATGAACAGTTTTAGTATGAAACATTTTTAGTATGAACAGTTTTAATAGAAATAAATTGAGTATGAACAGTTTGAGTATGAGGAAGAAACAGGTATTGATCCAAAACAAATAAATTTTCATACAATGTCAGACTCAGACAAAGACCATGGTTCAAAAAAATTATTGTATTTTGATGATAATGCCACAAGATATTTTGTTGGTTGTTACAATGATTATAACTGTTTTTGTCATACTCAACTCAATAATAGGAATACAAATCTTGCAAATGACACAAACAAACAAATAAAACGCGATGCAAAATAACTGGCTGATTTTACATGGGTTTGTGAAGAAACAGCGTCTAACTTTGATGAAAACATATTAACAAAGAAAAGAAATATTAAGACAAACAAAAGAAAAAAATAACGATACCGGGTCGTTATTATATAACGAGTGTTTGTTTTTACACCCTTGAAGATTTAAACAAATTATATTAACAACAAATTATGTCAGTAACAAATTATGTTAATAATAAATTCTGTCGAGATACTCTGTTAACATTGACGCCAAAATATGTCAATAATAAATTCTATCAACATACTCTGCCAACAATTCTCGGACATTTTATATTAAATATGATTTATAATATTACAGTCCGCGTCGAACATGTTTTAGAACATTAATATGTCCTATAACAATTGGATTTTTACAAATTGCGTCGGACACGTTTTAGAAAAATGCGATATATTACAACGCGAACTTATCAATATCTTTTTGTAAAAATGCAAACAAATTCTATCGAGACCTGTTTATCAACATAAAGTTGTTTTTTATCCCAGTAAACATGCCAATAATACGAACTAATAAAAAAACGGCACGTTGTGACGCTTTTATTATATTAAATGTTGTTGATAAATTAACAATTACCGTAATAAAAATAAAATGTTGTAATAATGTTGACTTTTATGTTAAAGAGAAAAGTAACACAATTGCGATATTTTGATTTTATTACGGTAATTCTTTCAATATCTAATAAAAGAGCCATCATGTTATGTTATGTATTTAAAAACGCGCATCAATATAACTTTGCTGTCTTCAACCTCCATTTATTATATTGCGAAATAACATAATCTTGGTGAATTTATTAAGACAACATTATTGCTTGCGTCACATCATGTGATTTTTCATTTTACACCCTTGAAGATTTAAAATATAATGAGACAAAAATCCCACTTATATCTAAAAGGTTTATCTATTACAGAAAATGTAATTTATGATTATGTTGTAGCAACAACAATAACAACAACTGATTAGTTTTTAGTTCCAATCATTAAATAAAATAAGCATCAATGTTTTTACAATAAAAAACCTGTATTTAGAGAGTAAATCGCTATAGAACTTATAACTATTCATTACTAATACGTTGTTATCATATCTTATCATATTATATCGATATTTATTTTAATAGTTTTGTCATTGTCTCATTTTATTTATATTTAAAATCCTCAAGAGTGTAAACGTAAATGTAAATGTAAATGACGCAAATAATGTAATGTAATGACGACAGGTTAAATTAAAATTAAAACACATTATGGTAAAAATTAACAATATAATGTTATTTATGAAACAAATAACAACATTTTTACATAGTCGAATATTTATACAGATATTAGTATAGGACATACATGATTCCGGACCACGGCCGAAATATAGTTAATCAAATTAAAAAAGAGTGTATAAAAGATCATTGTGAATACATAAAATCATATATTAAACACAATGGTAGAATAGAAATAAGTGCTAACTACGAAGATGGTGTAAGGCGTTATAACGATGCCAAAAAATTGCTCCGAGATATTGCGATCTATTATCCGTCTTTAATGGCATTTCTTCTTGATCCCAAGAAATCCGGTCTTTGTACAAACAATGTTTGTTCAACCTTAATAAATGAGAAAATTAATTTGGGATCGGGTAAAAGCATTCAGTTTGGGGGGACCAAACAGGAAATATCACAAACAATCGAGAAAGTAAAAAGTTTGTTTGAATCATTAAAAGCGACTGATGTAAGTAAAATTAAAAAAACCGCCGATGCGTTAATTCAAAAATTAGAATCAATAAGCAAAAAACTTGACACGCTTGTTATAGACAATAATTTAATTGACACTGATAAAGTTTTAAATAATATGGTGGCAGTCGTTGATAATCTTGAAAAATTCGACCCGGTATCAAAGTCTTACAGAAAAACAACTTCTGCATACAATATTTACACCCCAATTAAAAAATTTGAGGAAATTGACATGGAAAATGTTTCAACATTATTAAAAGTGTCAGGTGATGTTATTGAAAGCCATCTTGATCTTTTTAATGTATCTGATGATGTTAAAAAATTGGTTAATGCGATTTTTTCATTTGACGACTCCCATAAATTCCTGTTACAAATTCAGTCATTGCACTCTAAAACAAGTGACCTGGATTTAAAAAAAGTAATTAGTGAAATAATTTCGATTATTGACGTTGATATTAATAAAACAAATAGCATTGCCAGAATCAAATCTGCCATTATTGAAAAATTAATTATTCCGTATATTCTAAAAATAAAAACCGAATTAGACCCTGTAAAAATAGACCAACTTAACATATCTTATATTGAGATAATTAACACATTGAACAATAAAAAAATGGAACTTGATTTACTTACTGAAAACCTAAATAACTCTGCGTACGAAACTATCAACCATATGTATAATAACAATAATAATGATATTGCAAAAATAAGGTCCAATATTCTCCCAAAACTTCGACAAATAATTGATTTTTTTGCTTTGTATTTAGACACTCTTAATCCAACGCATAAATATTATGTTCCGATTAAAACACTGGTTGAGTCTTACAAAAAAATTAAAATTTCGGACAAACCCTTTTATCAAGAAGATATGGATGATGTCACTAAAATGATTATGTCACATCTTGATAAATACAATATTGAACTAAAAGCCCAAAATCCTAGAGAATTTGTCCTAATGAATGAACTTAATGAATTTGTCCGGAAATGTGAAGAAGTCGATATCGCAAAAAAAATTTCAATATTTAACGAAAAAGTAACATCGACTGATGTTTCGGCATTTATTGAAAAATATAACACAATTGCTGGTGATTCTGGTTTAACAAAAAATGTTAATATATTTATGGCGGAATTATACAGAAATCTTTTAGTCAGAAAAACTAAAAATTTAAACGAGATCGACAATAAAACTGTTAACAGTGAATTGCTTCCATATCATGTCAATATTATTAGAGAGCTTAATGTTAAGAAGGTCCGTGATTTAGTACTAAACAAAACTCTCGATGATTTCTCTAAAACAAGATATATTTTTGACACCATTTTAACAAGGGTTTACGGATACGGTCAAAAAACAGATCAAAAAATGCTTATTATCAATTCATTAAGAAATTCAGAGTCTCTCCAAAAAATTATTAATATTAATATAATTACCGACAATGATGCAAGACATTTTATTCACACATACAATATGACCGTCAGTAATTTA